ATATAGGTCTGACTTGTATAGTTTCTATTACTATTTATTCTACCCTTGAATACAATATAGATCTGACTTGTATAGTTTCTATTACTATTCATTCTACCCTTGAATACAATATAGGTCTGACTTGTATAGTTTCTATTACTATTTATTCTACCCTTGAACACAATATAGGTCTGACTTGAATAGTTTCTATTACTATTTATTCTACCCTTGAGTACAATATAGGTTTGACTTGTATAGTTTCTATTACTATTTATTTGACTTGTATAGTTTCTATTACTATTTATTCTACCCTTGAACACAATATAGGTCTGACTTGTATAGTTACTATTTATTCTACCCTTGAACACGATAGATTGCTTGTATTTATGTTTTGCATAGACACTGGATATCCACTGGATATGGTCACCTTTTTTTCTGCAGAACCCGAGAACAAAGAACTGAATAATATTTAAATAAATGATTACTATTTTTCCCGACATATAAATTTTTTTTTTCAGCAACTGAGAGCAAATGGTTTATGTCTGTTATTTTTTACATATTAGCTGTTATTATGGTTGGTATTACAATTGTTATTGTAGTTGTTATTGTGGTTATCATGTACAAGAAATATCAGAGTAAGTCATTTACTGTTTATGAATAGACCTAAGCTTGTCTAAAGTGAAATCTGTAGAGTAGACTAATGTTACAGTTGTCACAAGTCTACTTAGTACAAGTTTTATAGGCCAGTTATTATCTGTGTGATACTGGATACATTGTCTACTTCCTTCAAAAAGTCTAAATTGACACCGAGCTTATTAATTGAATTGTATGAAAACTGGAAGCTAGAATCTGAAATGAGATGTATATTTACATGATTTTTTTCCTGTTATGAAAACAATAAATAGCTATTGCTGAAATATCGTTTGTTATTTTCCAGGAAGAGAAAAGGAGTTAACCACTTTAGAGATGAGAAATCGAACCCGACAGCAAGTCATTAGAACACCTCTACTTTCTATTCATATAAGTATTGCATAAATGAAAATAAGAGAACCAATCATTAACAGATCAGAAAAAAACCCCAAAAGAAAATGCGTAATTGTTATCTAATGTTATTCCTTGTTAGCTTGGCTTCTAACAGGCCTTTGATAGGTTTTGTCGGCACTTTTTATCATGGCTTTTCTGACTCATTGGTTAGACTATGCCCTAGTAAATAAATCATAAATGAAAATAAGGGAACCCATCATTTACAAATCAGAAAAAAAAAAAAAAAAAAAAAAATGCGTAATTGTTATCTAATGTTATACTTAGTTAGCTTAAGTAAGCCTTTGATAGGTTTTGTCGACACTTTTTCTGACTCAATGGTAAGACTATGCCCTAGAAGGTCTCTCTTTCGTTCACATAATAGGCCTATGATTACAACTGATATTCATATGACTGTATTTATTTCCTTAACGTTCTTTCTACCCGTAACTAAACTATCAATTCATGATCTAACACAATTCTTTATGATAATGATATGAGTGAAACTCATTTTTATTTGACTGTATTTTTTTAGAAAGAAGATAAGCTTTTGAACGCAATAAATAAAAGGATTAATTTCTTGTTTGATGTCTATTTGAAGGAATTATGCGACTTTTAGTTTAAGTAGTTTTGAAGACTATTTACATGTATTAAGGCCCAAATCAACCCCCACCCCCCTTTTCCCCAAATGCCCCACTTGACAATCCCTCGTGTTGTACCCTTCACATAATAGTTTAAGCTTACTGACTTTTGTTTTCTTGGTAGGGGCTTGCTAAATGGCGGCGCCAGTTGGGGTACGTGTGAGGGGGGGGGGGGGGGGGGC